TGTTTTCACTGCCAGAATTCTCTTTCTTTGCTTCTTTTTGCCTACTTTATTACTTCAGATTTAATGCAAACCTCAGCTTGATCATTATTTCTTCAAGAAAGTCTTTTCTTTGCCCACTATTTCTACTATATGCTTTTAATAACATGTACCTTTGGATTGTAAAACCTATCACAAATGCAATTCTATACTATATATGTGTTCTGAATATCAGATTCTATATCTCTTTAGAGATATGATAATGAAATATTTGTCTCCTGTCCTTAATAATTCACATGAATGGTAACAACTTATAATTGTCATTGGTTTATGGGCTCTTGCTTCTGCACTAGGTGTTGGGTGACAGAAATTGAAGACCCTTAAGACTTATTCTCAGCACTCAAGGAACTAACAATCTGATTGGAAAGACATGGTTAAGACATACTAAACAATTATAAAGCAGCCAAGTCCATGATGTAACCAAGTCCTTTAGCAAAACTAAAAATCTTCTTTGGTTTCATTTTTTCCAAGAAATGGTTTCTCGTTTTAGTCTATGTCTTATCTATATGTTGATATATGAAAGCTGAAACAGCTTAGGATATAAAGTAATATAATTTGAGAAGCAGAAAGAAGCTTTGATAAAATGAAAGACCAATAAAGATGAAGAGGAAGAAACAAGAATTATGGTTTACCATGTCTCGCAGAGATATTCCATATTCTAGTGAATGGTAGTGGATCATCATTCACCAAATTTCATATCAATAGTTAACATTTACCCTGGCTCTTAAAAGCGTTAAGAGAGAAAGAAACTATACATTTAGTCAATTTAGGGACAGAATGTTATACCATAGCAACTCAGTCAAAAAAGAAGGTGGACTCCAGTTATAAATCAGCTAGAATCCTTAGTGAGTAAAACCACAGACCGAGACTAATTGTGTGGGAAACAGTAGGGTTCCAAGCATGAGCTCCATAAGCTCATCGAATCCTGCAGATCTCCCCGACCCCACTATAACCATGTCACTAGTAGCTGCAGGTTTCATTCTCAATTTGCAAATGATACATACATGCAACAGCTACAGACCTAGCCCTAGCCTAGGGGAGCCATAGTGAAAAACAAAACGAAACCCAAAACTTTAAAAGAATCCAGAGTTTTGAAGCGGAAGGATGGGAATAAATTATAAAATGATAGGGAACTGAACTAAAAGTTCTTCCTCAATATATTGTTTCTGCTCTTCACTACCAGAATTCTTTCTTTTGTCACTTTTCATACTCTGAAATTTTGTTATGAAAGTGTTCCTTCAAGACCACAGAATACTCTTAAAATTGCATTATCTTTGGAAAGGTTGATAGTCTTCCACTCGTGAGTGTGAATTAGTTTAATCAAGTTATTTTACTCAGTTCTAACTTGCAGTATAATAAAGGATTGCTGATTTTTAAGAATAGAGAGCAACAGCCACACTGGGAGAGATAGAGGCACTAAGGCCAGAATGAGGACAGTAGGTATATGAAAAGGGTTTTAAAAGAATACTGGAGAAGGTGCAAAAGGAGCAACAAGGAGCTAATAATTATTTATTTATAATGATTATTTACCTGTTTTAAGACCAACTAAGACTGGTGCTATACTCACCAAGAGAGAAAGAGAAATTTCCTCCTCTTTCTTGTCCGTTCTGTACAGAATGGGCCCAACTCCCAGGACCAGATATCAATCTGGTACAATTACAAACCAAAAACTTTAGGTTTCTCTGAGTTGGCTCTTGTGGAAAAATAAATGGTATACCAAACAATTTAAAGGAAAGGCTTTTCTAGCTCTAGAAACAATGCCTAATTTTTAGTTAATCGAACCATATGAAATTGCCAATTTTCAAGTGACTGTGACCAAGAAAAATGGCAATTTCCTATGGATTGACCTAAAAGCTGATAAATTGAGACTTCCTGAATTTTTTACCTGAAATCACATCATCAAAATGAAGAATTTGAAAAGCCATTAGCTATACTATATAGAAGGATTTTTTTTTTTTTTAAGGATTTTTAAAATAAAACACAAATCTACTAGTCACCAAGGCATACTGTGACTGATGATGCTATACCTTAAGTGTTGCTGTTAGAATAGCTGGATTGTTATGCACAATTCCCTAGATCAAGCCCTCTTTGTCCATGTCAATTCATTCCATTTGTTATTTAGACAGCACTTCCTTCTACAGCCCTAAGCAACCTAGGATATCTACATCTGTGGGTGTTTTAGGTTGAGGTTGGCAGTGGGCAGTATGGGTTTCCTGAGAACTCTAAGTGAACTCAGTTTTTTCCTACATCACTTAATGTTCAGAAAGAGGGATTTGCCATGTGATCTACTGTCCTTACAACCATAACTTTCCTTGTGCCACAAGAGAAAACTGTTTTAATGTGTTCTTATTCTATTCTAGAATATAATAGTAATTCGAAAGTCTGTAACTTGGCACTCAGAGGAACTATAAGGTATTTTTTAGTTCTATGGTTAGAATTTAAGGAGGAAAAAAAACCAATTATGCTTGCTTTTATGTGCATAGGGTTTTCTGTTAATTATATGCAAGAAACTGCCAACAATAGTAGTGCATGGGGAGGGAAACTGAAATTTTTCCTGCACTGATTTTCTTTTCAATATCATGTATTATTTACTGCTATTAATAAAAATAATTTAAAAACAAATATAATTTAAAATTTAAGTAGATAAAACATTTTACTTCTTAAAGCAGAGCCCCCCCCCTTATAAATGTTTGCATCCTGTTCTTGCTCTTTACCTTATCATTGTTGTGATTTTTAAAAATAATAATTCTTAAAACCCGTGGGAGGTGGAACAGAGATACAAAAGGTTTTAATGATGAAAATTGCTATTTATTCTGCAAATATTTGTAGCTACCTGTTCTGTGACAGGTCATGGACTGGGTACTTCCTCTTTTCCATAACTTCTGGAAGGCTTCTTGCGTAAACACCCAAGCATTTTTTTTTTTTTTTGAGAGTTTTGCATGCTTAAAAATGCTTCCCATGGATAAGTGGTGATCTGTTTTCCATGAATTTAGTAATGAGTTCAATTGTAGGGAGAATCACCCAGGATATTGAGGTGATTCTCTGGTGTCTGAATGAGGCAGAAACTACACTGATGACCTGTGTGTGAGAATGAGGGTAGTGGTACTGGGTTTGTGGAAGGTGGGGGGTTGGGTGGGGAGGGAGTCATCTTGAGCTATATCTGCAATATTGAGAAAATGAAAGATAAAGAGGAAGATAAAAAGAGACAGGTGGTAGAAGAAAGGGTGGCTGGCAATAGAAACTAGGGACATTTTAACTCACAAAATTGTTGTATTACCCAAAAGCTGATTTCAAAGATTTGTAAACAGAATCCTGAACACACTAAAAGATGATGAACCACCATAAAAGATAATCTAACACCCTTCACAGCACAGGCTAGAGAGAGGTGTGCCACAAAATGTAAAGGAACGTCAAAGAACTCAGTAATCAAGATAAATATTTTAATGAAATATTTTAAAAATTAATGTAAAAATGCATGATGAAAAATATCAACATTCAAGATAAAGGTGGGATTAGTATTACTGGTTTTTCCTTTTTCTTCAGATGGCCAAAAGGCCTTGGGCAGGGCACTATTACAGATCCTGCAGAAACTTCCTACTCAGGTACTTTTATTAACGATGTTTTCCAAAAATTAGTTTTCATGACCCCTTCCCACATCAATAACTTTTCTTCAACACCCCAGCATTTATCTGTAGCTCTGTTCCGTCGGAAAACCCATTTTCCTTAGTAACTGTAGTACTTTGATGGCAATCTGAATCATAGTGAATCCTTTCCAGTGCCTTCCCAAACCACAGTGGGCACTCAGTATTTCTTTGCTAAAAGAACACAGAAATCACAGACTTCAAATTGGCTCTCTTAGGGATTGAGCAGTGAAGGAACGCGGATACATTGTTTTGTCCACAGTGTGTGTCTTTAAAAAACAACAACAACAACAACAACAACAACAACAACAAAAACTGATTTTGTTATCAAGAATTAAAAACTCAGAATATTTTACATGAAAATAATCTACATCTCTCATTTCTTGGAAAATCAGAAAACCTAGCAAAAGTAGGCCCAAATTCTTCCATGATAGCGATGGGTATTAAGAGCAGAATGGATCTGCCCTGAGAGCTCTCTCTAGTTGGGCGCCTCCTGCCTATTTTATTCATTTACGTTGCCTGACCCTTGAGCTATTTGAGTTTGCAACACCAGCCATGAAGGTAGTGTGCAACGGTTAACACGCATCTGCTGGCTCCATTCGGTCTCTCTTAGAGAATAAAGTTTCCTCGCTGTCTTTTCGAAGATAGCCTTGCAGAGAGACTCACAGAAGCAGCTTACCTTTCTAGCCCACAAACTTTCCACAACCAGTGAAAGTTGTACTGCCTTCCGCACATTGTTTCTCCTTGGCTCTTTGCTCCAGGGTCCCCTCCCTGGCCCAGAGCCTTCTCTCCGAACCCCGATCCCGGTGCTCTGGAGCCTGGGGCGGGTCCCCGGCCCCCAACCGCAGCTCTCTGTTCCCGGCCAGGGCGCTCAGGCTCGCCCACGGCAACACTGGGCATGCTCAGAGGCGTCCGCGGGGGCAGGTTTACTTCGCAGGCGCTTGCACTCGGCGGCGGGCGGGCGCGCGGCTGCAGCTGGAGCTCCGGCTCCCGGAGTTGGAGTTGCCGAGAGTTTTCCCCAGCTACCCGCCGTCTTTGCGCGCGGCAGCCGGAGCCGGCGCGGAAGCCGGGAGCGTTGGCCAGCCAGTACCCGGGCCGGCCAAGTCTTGTCCGGAGTCTAGAGCCCCGCGCGGGGCAGCCCCCGGGGAGGAGTCTCGCCAGCTGGGACGCGTGCAGCGCATTGGCACTGCCAGGGCACGAATTGGGCTGCACGGTAGGGCCCGGGCGTGGAGGAGCGGGCGGGCGGGCGAGGCAGAAGCCAGGCCAGGCCAGGGGGCATGCGGCTGCAGCAGCCGCAACGATTGGGGCTCCTGGCGCTCGGTCTGATGTGGGAGGCTGGGGCAAGGACCCCGCTGCGGGGCCGGAGGAGTGGGCAGATGACCAGAGAGATGCTTTCAAGTTGGCGGAAGAGGGGGCTAAACGCCCAGGCACAGCTGCTTAGTGCGCGCCAAGAGGGATTCGGGTCCCTGGTTCCCCCCAGACCCGGGACCCGGCGTGCGGGCAGGGTTGAGCAGCCGGCGGAGCGGAGCAGTTTCCTCCGAGAAAGTTGAGGATGGAAACCTTATTTTCTTTCTGTTCCCGCGGTACTATGGTCCGGAGGGTGCCGCCCGAGGTCCCCAGTGTGGAGGAGCTTAGTGGGTCGCTGCGCCCATGGGCTGAGCTCCTCCATCCTCGGCTGAAATCAACGAATCACGCAAATCTTCCCAGCGTCTTCTAGGAAAATCTTCCCAGCCAAAACTGAGGTAGGCTCTCCTGGCCGGCACGGTTCCCTGCCTCCAGGGCGCTTAGCTGGGCGATGCCCCCTCCCTAATCTCAGACGTGGCCAAGGGCGCTAGGATCCGAGTTAGTGCTTGTGGTGCGCGCCAGAATGGAGCCTCACACATGATGGGGCAGTGTGGCTAGAGTAGGTGGACAGCCGGATTTCTCCTCCAGCCTTTCCTCAGGTGTACAGCACCCCACCAACCCCACCCCGTTTATTTTCGCAGAGACAGGACCTGGAGGAAGGGCCAGGTGGAGAGTTTGGGTGGACATACTTCTTACGAGAGGGCGCCTGAGTTAAATCTCTGCCTTGGGCTCTGGCTCCAGGACGTCATAACGAACCCTCTCCTTCAGGGACTGGGTGGGAAGGAATAGAGCCAGTGGGTCCACAAAAAGGTCCACCTCATCCCACTGGTCTCGAAGATCGTGTTCCAGGCGATCCTAGGACCCTGAAACTGGCATTGTGTGGATTGCGAGGGTGTGGAGGATGCCGACGGCTTCTCTTGGCTCCACTTTTTTCACTTCTTGTTTTGAGTTTTGGGGTTTTGCCTGCACTCGAGTCAGAGCTGCGCTGTCATAACCCGGGGCGGGGAGGGGGTTGG